GGTCGGCGGACCCGCCGATCTCCCCGCACTCGGCACTTGCCCAAGACTCGTCCCGTGTGTACTATCACTTGTTGTACTCATTCATTATAACCACTATGTCTGCCCTTGTAAACCAATGTTTAAAGGACTCCATATACCTTTTACAAAGACATGTTAACATGGGGGAGGAGTCTGCATATATGTACGAAATACTCTCAAAACAAATGAGATATCTCGGTTAACGAACAATACAGTATGCTTCCATTACTAATTGTAGACGCAGCCTATACGCATCCTCGTGGTTCCTCTGAATCTTTTGATTATCTAGAAAAAGGTTTTAGAGAAATGTCAGTTTCAATGAAACCTCTTTTCATCTAGGGTGATCTAAATGATAATTTAAATAAGCCCAATGCCAAGTTACTTAAGATAATTAAGAAAAACTAATTAGAGCAAATGGTCAACAAACCTACAAAGGTCACTAAAATATTCGTCGTTAATTGAGTAATAATAACGAACAGAACTGACACCATTCTCCATACACGCGTCATCCCATGCCATGTTGCCGATCACGATCCCATAACGAAATTAATATAGAGAAATCCAAACGACCACCAGTCATAAAATGACTCTCAGTCATTATGCCAATAAATTATTGTCAAAGTATCAACTCTTTTAGAAATTTTGTAAACAGATAATGTAGACATACAGGTAAATGAATATCTTTACGGAAGTGATTAATGACAGCTTAAACGCCACTGGTCCATTTATCGCAAAGCCTGTTAAACGTCCTCCAGCTCCATGGATAAAACGGTATCAAACGAGCAATAACAGAGAGAAATAGCGCTCATAAATCTCTCAGACTCAACATAGCACTCCAGGCTAATTATAAACAAAAAAGGAGAAATGTCAAATCACGTATACCGAGAGTCAAAACTGATTATTTTAAAAATAGATGAACAGATTAGAAAAAGACTGCTAAAACATGGGAGATAGTTAAAACACATGACATAATAATTAAAAAAGAAACATCACAGAGATAATAATCTAATTCCAGAATTAGGGCGGATGATTTTAATGATTTCTTCGCTAAAATTAGACATCTTATATACGGACAAACAAGCGCTTCCATATCTCAGCAAAATACAGATAGAAGGTCACTAACCAATACTTTCAGACCACAACATGTAAAAATAGAAACAGTAATCAAACATCTGCGTGAAATCAATGCTGTGGGAGCGGTTGACATTACTTTTCGCTTTATCAGATACGGTCTACTTGCAATGGCGTATTATCTAACGGTTATCATTAACCCATCTCTAGTCACCGGTGATTTCCCATCGCTTTGGAAATATGGCATAATAACACCAATTCTCACATCCGGAGATACAGACGAAGTCAAGAACTATCGCCCTATTCTCACACTAACCATACTGTCTAAAGTTCTCGAAAAAATCGTAGCTGATCAATTGACAAGATTTCTGGAGACAAATGACCTACTATCTAAAACACAACATGGTTTCAGAAGTCAGCTGTCTACTGAAACAGCATTATTTTATATCACAAATAAAATCTATGAGATATAGATAACCAAATAAACTTGCTTACACTGTACGATTTATCCAAGGCCTTTGATAATGTTAACCACGAATGCTTATTAGTACACTAATAAATCACAAAATCGTTACACATTGGTTCAGAAGTAACAGAACTCAAATCAGTCAAAATTCGCGAGAATATATGTACAAAACAGATAGCCTCTTTCGGTGTTCCACAAGGACCTATATTAGACCAAATCCTGTTTACAATATTCGTAAATAAATCATCACCCATACCCAAAATTGCCTTCTTGTTCAACACGCCGATGATTCACAATTTCTCCATAGTGATTTTGTAAACAACTTAGATGAATTAATGAAAAAGATCCAGGAGACACAAATGGCCTCAAGATAGATACATATAAAACACAATGCATCTTCACTGGTAGCCGCCAAAACGTCGCCAAAATTCCTATAAACGCCGCTGTAAAATTTGAAGACAGCTACATAAGACCGAGCACAAAAAAAAAAAAAAAAAGGTGTCCACATTGGCAGATTCATGACAATTGAGAACCAGGTCGACATCCCTAGAAAAGCAATGGGCACATTAATTTACCTAAACCACATAAAAACAAGATCCCTGCTGAAACTAGGATATCCGTTATACAAACACAAGTTATCAGTATAATTAATCGTTGCTCAAACATTTAGGGAACAACACACAAAGGTCAAATTCAGAAAACAGAAAATACATTAGCACTCCCCCCCCCCCTCTCTCTCTTTCTTACTCTCTCTCTCTTTTTCTCTCTCTCTCTTTCTCTCTCCTCCTCCTCCTCCTCCTGCTCCTCCCTCCCTCCCTCTTTCCTTCCTTCCTTCCTTCCTTCCTTCCTTCCTTCCTTCCTTCCTTCCTTCCTTCCTTCCTTCCTTCCTTCCTTCCCTCCCTCCCTCCCTCCTTCCTTTGTATATCCCCCCCCTCTCTCTCACTC